TCACGGGGAAAAACAAGGACTTCCTCACGCAAGCGGCCACCCAGGTCTGTCTCTGCGGGCCAGGGAGCCTTGCTCCCCACAGAACGAGGGGCGCTTCTCCCTGCTTCCCTGTGCCTTCCTTCTGGCCACTCTCCAGGGGGCTCCAGACACTCTCCAAAGAGGAACAGGAAGAGGAGGGGCAGGTGGGGGGTGGGCAGCAGCAAGAAGCCGGGAGGGTGGGCACAGAAAGGCCTGGCCCTGTGGGAAGAACTCGGCAACTACCGGAGTCATAGAGGGCGGCCCAGTCACTGGGCTACAGTTTTCTGGAAGTAATGCCCTAAGATGCCTGCCACTGCAATCCCTTCATTTTGCAGCTGGGTCACCAAAGCCAGCAAAGGGAGGAGGACCTGCCCAAGGCTGCAGGGACGGCAGTGACACAGAGGGGAAGCAAACCCAGTCTTCTGGTGGCCAGCTGCGCGCTCTTTTCACCACACCTCCTACTGCCCTCCCTCTCTCTCGTCCTGCACCCCTCCCTCCATGTGGTCAGGTGAGCAGTGAGGGAAAAAAGAGGGACGAGAAAGGAGGTGGGCCCACAACAGGGAACCACCTGTAACAACACTGGAGGGGGCCGCCTACAAGGCAGTTCACTCCTGACGCTGCACTGGGGGTGGTCAAGCGGAGGCTGGCTGATCACCTGCTGGGTGCTGTTGAGGAAATTCGGGCCAGATGTCCTCTGCGGCCCTCCCACATGTCTACTGCCACTATTCCAAACAGGGATGGAAAGACGTCTGAGACAAAACAAAGGATGACCCATCCAGAGAGGACACAGCATGGTCCAGAGGCGGCAGAGGATTAAAGGCAAGTTATCCCGAAGCATGAAAAATCGGACCATCTGCATCATCTCCTACTGAAATCCCTTCAACAGCCCCATGATCAGCATCATTAATAAGATTTAATGATGTTCGGCAGCCAGTAGAGATTGATCACTTACCCCATGCCAGCCCTGTGCTGACACACACTGTCTCATTAATTCACAGCACTCTGGAAGTAGCACTTATGTCACATAAACTTATAGAAGAGGAAGCAGACACAGCACGCACCCAGGTGTACTGAGCTCTAAATCAGGCACGCTACACCACGCGTTCTCAGAGAGCAGCTGGACCGGCAGCGTCAGCATCACTGCCACCAGCTGGATCAGACACCCTTGGGGGCGCAGCCCTGCAATCTGTTTAACAAGCCACCCAGGGGACTCTGATGCACGCTTGGGCTTGCCAATGCTCTGATCACTTCCCAGTGCTGCTGACGGGGGAAAAACTGACACTTCTCTGCCTGGTAGTCAAGACCATTGGGTTTTTCCTAGCCCAGCTGGTCAGCTCCCCCAGTGCAGCAGAGCCTTAGCCCAAATCCTCTTACCCTAAGTTGCAGAGGGGGCTCAGGCCCCACTCTGCACCTCATCATCTTGCCTGGGCCCGGCCTTGAAGTCGCCTCCTTCCAGAAGCCCCCTGACCATATGGCACCCCCAAATTGCTCCACACCCCAGTCAGACTTACTGCCGGGCACTTGCTGGCACACTACGCCTTCCAGCTAGCGCTCATGGCACATTTCTGCCCAGTCCACAACGAGTTCCTGGAGGGCAGAGCCAGTACCTTATTCACCTGAGTACCACGCCACTCCACACAGCACCAGGCCGGAGGGCTGTCAGGAAATGTTTGCTGACTATCAGAAGAAAAGAAAAATGCCTTGGGAAGCAAGTTCTGGCTCTCACCCTGACTCTGCCACTACCTCTCTGGGACAAGTGCCTTCCCATCTCTAGGACTCAGTTTTCTCATCTGTGAAATGCACCATTATTCTAGTTTCTTCTATTCTACTCATCTGCTGAACAAACCCAGCAAAGCCTTACCCCAGACACTCTTTATCTAGTATCAGGAACGCACACGTGAAGACTAAAGAGGTCCCTGCTCTCACCCTTCTATTCTAGGAAAAGAGGAAGACAACAAACAAGCAAACAGTAAAAATTACTGTATGCCTGACACATACAGTGTCTACACACATACTTTCTCAATTGCAAATAAGCAAGATCATTTCAGAGCATGATGAATGTATTAAAATATATATATAATAGTAATATGACAGAAAGTGAAAAAGGGGTTACTTTGCATAGAAAGGTCAGGGAAGGCCCCTCTGAGGAGGTGACATTTGAGCTGAGACTTGACAGATAAGGAAGAACCAGCCATGAAAAGAGCTGGGGAAAGGTGTTCGAGGCAGAAGGAACAGTACATACAAAGGCCTGAAGGCAAGAATAAGCTTGGGCCGTCCGAGGGGAAAAATAGCAGGCTGCTGTGGTTAAATCACAGTGAGTGCAAGAATAAAACAGTACCCAGTAGCACCCAGAGAGGGAGGCAGACAGCCGACCTCCTACAATTCTGAGGTGTTCAAATCAGGTCGGCCAACCCAACCCAGAACATCCGGGGCCCAAGTCACAGGCAACACTGGGGTTTAGGGTATGAGTCAGACCCCACGGCTTCCTGGGGCCCCAAAGGCCCTGGTGTGGGAATAGGGGCAGGCAGCAACCCTCAGCATGAGTGCCATGCCATACCCGTGGACACACATGGGTGGGAGAAAACAGAGTCACATAAGTATGTAGAACACAGGACACTCACGGCTGCAGCCTCCAGAGGAACATGATCAAGTGCTTCAGTGAAGTGCCAGGCCCTGATCACATTATTTTCCCAGGGCACAGCCAGGATAGTGGAAAGGAAACAGGGCCCAGGGTTCAAGGCTTACTAGTCTTGGGCAAGTCTTAACCTTTTGGGGGTTCAGTTTCCTCACCTCAAAATTGTGGCTACTACTAGTGACTCTCTCCTAGGGTTGCTGAAAAGAGTAAATGAGACACTAAACATAAAGCACTGTGCCTGGCACACAGTATGTGCTGATAAATGTAAGCTGTTATTATTACCATTATTGGTTTTTCACTGCCTCAGTTCTCTCTGCTGTAAAACAGTGATATTAATACATCATAGGATTGCTATGAGTTTGTGCTAATAAACATTCCAGCCTCCTAATGCAATATCCATTGTCAGGAATGAAAAAAAAAAATTGAGAGTCCTCTCATCAGGTGCCGAATTCCCCTCTACCCTACCACATTGTTTGGAAAATGAGTAAGAGCTGATTAAATTCTATTTTGACAATACTGTGAAATAAAAATGATGCATTAGGAATCCACAGATTTCTCTGCACTGTCATTCTGCAAGGGGGTGGGGATAAACGTTGCTGATTCTTCTGCATCATCCACAAAAGTCCCCCCATCCAACCAAAGCACGAAGTCTCACTCAGCTGCACAAAATTCCCATACAATTAATGAATATATAATACAATCACTTTCATGTACACACAATCACACACTCTTGCAGACAAATGTTCTACAGCGGAAAACTCAGGCATATGTAGAAACTCCACACCCCAAATCGCTCCCCAAAATTCACTACAGCTACCCTGCAAATGCACCCAAATGTTGTCTCCGACAGTGGGCAAAATATGTTCAACAGAAACAGTATAGCACAGAGTCTGGAGTCAAACGCCAGCGTTCAAATCCTGAATTTGCACTCTCTAACTGTATGACCCCAATCTCCAAGTGCCTCGGTTTCCTAACCGGTAAAATGCGGATGGTAATAATCATACTCGTTTTGAGGATGGAAGTGGCAATTAAACGAGTTTAATACATGTAAAGAGCTTAGTTCAGCACTTGGAAAGCGCCCAATAAGAGTTATTTTCCTCTTCATTACGTGTGCACACGGCTTCCAAAACTCGTCTCCCACACTATGAACAGACCCACGCCCGCACACACACCCTCCAACCCGCGGGTCCGCACACCCAGCACACAGCCCGCCTGCAGTTCCCAGACACGCTTGCCCACTCAGTGCGCACGCGCGCCCACCACCCTCCGCGCAGGTCAGGGATTCCCCACTCGGCCGGACCCGGCCGTCCCTGGAGGTGCCCTGCGCCCAGGGACCTCGGGCGCCGGAGCCCAGGAGATAAGAAACCCAGGCCACCAGTCCGGGCTTGACCTCCCCCCTGCCACGCCCGGTGGACTACCGAGGCTGGGACCGGCCCAGTCCCAGACTCCCTTCCTTTCCATCCCCGCTCCGCCCGGCCGGCTTACCTGAGGGTGGGGACCCGGGGAGACAGCACCCCGCTCTCCGCGTCCAGCCCGAGTCCAGAGACGCGGTAGAGGCCTGGGCCACTCTCTGGCCCCGCAGCACTGCACAGGACCCCGGGTCGGGGCAAGGGGACGGGGCCGGGGACTAGGAAGTACTGGGGGCCGGGCCGCCCCACCCCCTGGGAAAGTCCCCAGTGACTGACAGGCCGATCGCCCAATCACGCTGCGCCATCTGGGCGGGTCCGCAGCCACCGGGGTGGGACGCAGAGAGGTAAACAGCCGCCGCCGGAGCAGGCCGGTTTCTGGGTAGCCTTTGCCTCGGGCTGCAACCTCCGCAGGTCCGGGCAGTCCCTCGCGGCCCTCCCTGCTGCGGAAACTCCGGGCGCCGGAATGAGGCTGGGGCCACCCTGAAAGCCGGAATTTCAGAGTACAGTCGAGCCTAAGAGACCACCCACCCTTTCCTAGCGCCTAGGGGCACAGAGGCCGGAGAGCGGGCGGGGGGGACTTGCCAAACGGCATGTAAGCATTTGTAGCTGAGCCAGAGCTAGAGTTCGGGGTCCTAGAGTTCGGTCCAGGGCTCCCCCGGACTTCTTACAGAGCTCACAGAAATTCTGAGGTGAAAGTACCCTTAAAGAATCTCATTGTCACAGCTGACATTTTTTGCGTACTTACTGCTCCAAACTTGGTAAGCACTTTGCATGCTTTATTTATTTAATTCGGTCAGCCACCCTAGTGAGATGGTTTTTATCCCCCCCCCCTTTTTTTTACCATAAATTAATGTACAAGGCGCGTGGAGGTTAGATGACCTCAGTAAGTGGCTGAACCGAGATTGAAACCCAAGTGAGCAAATCCGTAGCCCACTTTCTACACTACCTATATGTGGGCCAGATCATGCAAACAGGTTGTGAGATTTCCCAGACCAGGAAGGAGCCGTAACTTGGTTTACGCTTGGGAACACTTGTTTTTTTAAGCCCACCATTTTATTTAAAAGAGGGTAAATTTTAATTTCAGAAAGTGGCAAGTCCTAACCTTGGAATATAGGACAGCTCTTCAAATTGGGTTAATATAGCTTTATGAAAAACTTATTCCGAAAGATTCATTTCACCGGAACTATTGAAAACTTAGTCATTGACAGGCCCTCATCGTCAGAAAGGATTTGGGGAACTATTTCATACAGGCCCTCATTTTACAGGAGAGCTCTGTAAATTAACTGTGACTCTGTGTGAAAACACACACACACACACAACCTACGCAACTATATGCCTAATCCAAGAACTCTCAGGCTTTGTGACATCCTGGGATGCTTTTAGTTACTTCAAAGGGGTTATCAAAGTCTCAAAATGATATTAATTCTAGTTCATTTTAATTATGAAAATAAGTACACATATTTTGAAGAGAGGGATGCAAACACCAAACAAAGCACCACTGAGTGTGACCAATCACCAGGAGATTACGATCTTGGACTGGTTGATACTGCAGCTCTCAGGCATCACCTCACCCATTTGTGCGCTGGGCCGCACCCCCGCCCTGTCCGCTTTTCTTCCTGCTCTTGTCTGTAATTCCCAGTTTGTTTTTCCTGGAATGCACTCTTCCTAATCCCAACCAAAGTCCTTCTCATGAACACTGAAATTTACTTTAAAAAGTGAAGAGTCTCCAACTGTTTGCATTTTGTTTCCAAACTATTTCAGCTGTTTTTGTAAATGTCTGACCTTAGAGAATTATGCAAATGGTTTCATTCCCCAAAGTGCCGGGTGATTCCTAGAGGTGGGCTTGTTGGACAATGCTCTAGTATGGCACAAAAAGGTCACACAGTCATCTTTTTGCATGATTCCCTCCTTCTGGATAATTTTTCTTAACAACTGCAATATGTGAGAAGATGCATCTCTTCGAAGTCATGACCACATCCACCACTTCCATCCATTTCAGTCTGAGTTCTAAACATTCCATGTTAGGGGCCATGGGACCGTTGATCACAATCCCCTATTTGGCAGATGGTAAACTGAGTCCTCAGAGTAGTAAAGAACTTACTTAAGGCCACGCACATGGAGTGATGAAACCAGGGTTGGAACCCAGGTCCTTGGCTCCCGGTCATATGTGCTCTTTCCACTGCATCATGTTGTCTTTACAGTGTCCTGATTTTTCTTACTTTCTTACAGAAACTCAACACTCATGATGAACGTAGGCCATGGACCTAACTAATGGGGTTCTAACCACTCAACCACTGCCTTCCTGGGTGGCCTCTGTAAGTCTCTGTTCCTCTCTAAAAAATGGAGATAATGATTACCTACCCCTTAGGTGATCATGAGGATAAATGAGATAATGCAAGTAAAGCCCCAAGCTTGGCACACAGTAGGCATTCAAGAAAAGATAGTGGTTTGTAGATGTGGATTGCATGCATTGAGTAGAACTTCACTGTTAAACCCAGGAATGCAACCTCCCCAGGCTCCATCCCACCATCCACAAACTCTCTGGGACCCTAGACTCTGGGGGCTAGGCAGGGTAGGAGACGGGCCCCCTAGCCTGGCACCCCCATCTCCCCCCAGCCCTGGAAGGAAATTTCCAAGCTGGGAAGCTGGGCCTGACACTGAGAACTGAGTGACTTAGTCAGCTGGGAACCTCTTGCTCTTCCAGAGTGAGGACAAGCAGCCGTGCAAAGCCCCACCTGGCACGAGAATCAAAAGGCCTGTGCGTTGTTTCGTTGTTTCGTTTTGTTTTAAGGCAGGTGGTTTCCCAATCTCTTTTCTACCACTCCCCCGCCCCCTTCCACCACCTCCACCAAGGCTGCCCCAAAGTTTCACACCTAAATCCACATTTGAGGGATATGAAAAACATACCAAAAAACCCTCAACCTATAAGTGATTTAGCTCTAAATCAAGGGCCTAAAAAGGAGTGAAAGCTGCATATTAAAAACATTAGAAGGTAATATTTATGGTGTATTTGCTGTGTGCTAGTCTGCACTTTCACATATCTCCCAACCAGCCTCTGAGGTCAGAACCATTAACACCCCCACTTCACAGATGAAACTGGGGCTCCGAGGTGTTAGGTGACTTCCGCAAGGTCTTCAGCAGCAACAGATCCCTGGAACATGAAGATCCCGGTTCTTAATCTCTTCACGCTCTTGAGCATTATACTATGGAGTCTTGCCAGCTAGCAAGGCACAGAACTCAAAATGCCAGTCCTTAAAGAGTCCTTAGAAAGGATCAAACCCAGCCTTTTTCTTACAGGGATGAAGCCACTGAGAGCCAGGGAGGGCCAGGGACTTGTCACAAGTCTTACAGCAAGTTTGGGATAGTACTTAAGTCTCCTGCTCCCAGAGCAATGCTATTTCCACACATCTCAGTCATGGGAAACAGAGCTTCTCAGACAAACGAACATGTGCCTCACTCTGATAGGTGAATTAGTGAGTCTGGGCCTTCGCTAGGGGTGATGAGCAGCTAATGAACTAAGAAAGGAGCAGTCCTCGGTCTGGGTCCCTTCCTTAGATCCAGTCCCACATCTGCATAGCCGGGGGCAATCTCAGGAATGGAAAATCCTACGATGGATTCTAGGTGCTTTTTGGTGTTGGGTGTGTGTGTGTATATGAGAGGGAGGTTTCAGTGATAAATGAGAAATGCATGTCAAGCACATGGTGTTGGCTGAAATTGTATTAGGTAATTGTACTTGGGGGTAAAGAGTAAATAAAGGAGCAGAGTCTATGGTCTCTGCTTCCCACCCTAAGCCCCAGAAAGCATTTAGTTCTATCTACATCCCAAATAACTGCATGAGAGGATGGATACAACGGCGCTAAGAAATCCATAACTTCGGGGCTTCCCTGGTGGCGCAGAGGTTAAGAATCTGCCTGCCAATGCAGGGGATATGGGTTCAGGCCCCGGTCCAGGAAGATCCCACATGCCGTGGAGCAACTAAGCCTGTGTGCCACAACTACTGAAGCCTGCACGCCTAGAGCCCATGCTCTGCAACAAGAGGAGCCACCGCAGTGAGAAGCCCGCACACTGCAACGAGGAGCAGCCCCACTTGCCGCAACTAGCCAAAAATATAAATAAAAATAAATTCATTTGAAAAAAAAAGAAATCCATAACTTTTCACATTCATTCAGCACTTTAAGGTGAATTAAACCGTTTCATATTAACAGTTTGCCCCACTTCCAAGAGGCATGTCATGCAAGGGTTAGGAGGCGGACTCTGGAGTCTGATAGACCCTGGCTTGGATCACAGTCCTGCCACTTAACACCTCACGATGGCTCTCCTCCCGTTTCCTCATCAATAACAAGAAGGTTAAAACGGTGCCCAGTCCACAGGGTAGAAAGAATGAAACATCACAGAACCTGGCATCAGTGAGAGGCAACAATGATACTTATGATCAGCCCTGTAGGGTGGGCAGGGATCATTCACCTACTCTTTCCAGTGAGGACCCCAGGGCCCAGAGCTGTGGAGGAACTTGTCCTAGACTTCACAAAGTGTTCTTAGAAACACCAGGCCTAGAAGACATTTCTCCTTTTTCTCCAGGGTCTTTCCTGTTTTCCTCTTTTTTCATCCCAACTGTTTCCGCTGCGTCCCTGGGCTTGCCTCTTGGCTCTCTAGGGCACCGCTAGAGGAGAGGAAAGGGCAAAGTGACAGTGGGGGAAATTCCCGCCTGTAGCAGACGTGGCCTAGCCAGGCCCCTCCCACAGGTCCTAGGAGCCCCAGGCCAGCCCCTCTCCCTCTGGCCTCCCTGTCTCCAGCTCAGAATGCCAAGCGGACCTGGGTTTGGATCCAAGCTTGCCCCTCGTCATCCTCCTGGAAGTGGGAAGAGGTCAGCCAGGCTCAGCCCAGCCCCTGAAGGAGGCAGACCCATGGGAACCAGAGCATTTCCTAATCCTGGGAAGCCCTGACAGTGCTGTTCAGCCTCACCCTAAGTCCTCTCCCATGCACCCTCTTCTAGGGCCCCTCCCACTTCTCCCTCCATTCTTCTCCAGCCCAGAAGCCACTGTGACAGCGACTTGGCCTCCACTCCTTGCCCCTCCTAGCCAGGGACTTCCCTGGGCTGGGCCTCTGACCAGCTTTGGAAAA